GACTTGATCATTATTTACATGACAACTCTCATTCTCGGTGAGTGTTGCCGCAAAATTTATACAAAACAAAAGGGAACATTTTTTGTTGTTTTTTACTCTTATTTATACAATACATTGTATACATTTGTAGTTATTTAGTATTAACTTTATATTGTAATTATATTATATATCATTATATTTGTATTTGTATTATATATAATTGTATATATATTTATAATTTGTCATATTTACATTTATTAGTATATTGTATTATACTATATGTATAGTTGTATCTATATATTATTTATATTTAAATTATATTTATATTTGTATTTATATTACGTTTATATCTTATTTATAGTCTTACTATATTTATATACACCTTTTACCTAGTCTATCTATTTTCCACATTTTTCTTTTATATATTCTCTTTTCCTTATTCTTTCATTCAAATTATTCGTACCTATAAAACTTAATTCTCGTGAGTTTATCACTTTTCCTTCTTAATAATGGAAGTTAGAGACGGAGGAACGCAAACCTGTAATGATATACCTGATAATGGAACGACCTCTCCCACTCCTTTATTGAAACGACCCAGGACTGTTGCTTATTCCCAAAATCGTAAGCTAGTTGATGAGCAACTTGAGTCTGTCTTAAAATCCGTTGCAGCCCTTAAGGCTGCCAACGCCCGGCTACGTGCTGAGAATTCCTTCCTTGCCACCAAGCTGGCACTGTACACGAGTAACTTACCAAAGTCTTCCTCTTCAACCTCCGCCGCAAATACTGTCCCCCCCTCCACTTCTACTGCGGCGGCCTGTAGCATTATTAGTACCCCGAAGCCAGCGCCAAAGCCCAAACCCAAGCCCTCTGTAGCTACTAAGGTCCTTGTGGGTCCCAATCCTCCCACTCCCTCTACAGTTCCGTTGGCTTCGGCCACTAAGTCTTCCAAGCCACCAGCCATTACGGCCCGTGGCGTCAATGTCAAGGAGCTTGGCTCCTCCATCAAATCAGCCTTTCCTAATGCCTCTTATGAGTTTAAGTGCATAAATGGCACGACCACTCGTATCCTAACTAAGAGTAAGGATACCTTTTATAACATCAACTCCCTGCTCCGCGAGCAGAAAGTTGAGAGTTTTGCCTCCATTCCTTTTGAGGACCGAGTCACTCCTGTCCTCCTTAAGAACTTCCCCTCATCCTATGATGAGGATGACTTGAAGTCGGCCTTGGCGACTGACTTACCTGAGTTCACCTTCTCGAAGGTCTCCAAGGTCACTCCACCTGCGCGCTTCACAAAGCGTAACCCCTCTAGGTATGCCAATTCTTGTATTTGGGAGCTCCATCCTATCCCTTCTACAGACTTAAAGTCCCTTCTCAATGTTAAGCGACTTCCATCGCTTAACATCATCATTTCACTCGAGCAGAAATCTCGTAATGAGATCCCTCAATGCTCAAATTGTCAACGCTATTTTCACACAGCTAAGCTGTGTAATTACCCCCACCGTTGTGTACGCTGTGGTGAGTCTCATCTACGTGGCGAGTGTCAACTTCCTCCTCCAGCTTTTGATCCAGTTACTCAGGAGCAACTTGCAGCCACTATCCCCAAGTGCTGCAACTGCGGTCAGACTGGTCATCCGGCCAATTACCGCTGCTCCAAATATAAGGAGCTGCGTTCTCTTCGCGCCAATAAATCTCGTGCGCAAAAAATCCCCCCCCTCATGTCTATTGACTTGAGGACTCCGTCAAATTTCGTGAGACCTGGTGTCTCATTTGCCTCTGCGGCTAAAGCCGCAACCCCTAAACCCATTTCGCTGCCTAAGACAGCTAATCCTTCTCCTATTCGTGCTCCTGAGTCAGACTCTTTTCTCCCTGATATTCAGGGTATCTTCGCCTTTGCTGCTGGCATTAAACAGCAGTACAGCCTTCTGCCCCATTCTGACAAGAAAGCCTTTCTTGTCCAGAAAGTCCTCGAATTGGCACTGAGATGAATGATCTAAGGATCATTCTCATAAATGTCAATTCGATACACTCCAATCTTAGGCGTGCTCTTTTCGCGGATTTTGCTGAACGCAACAACCCTCATATCATCCTTGTGACTGAAACACGGCTCAATATCAGGGACGTTGTTGATGTCAGAGGATATAATTTTATCCGATTCGATAGGGACGGCGTCGGTGGGGGAGTCGCCATCTTGGTAAAAGACTCTCTCAAGTGTTCTAGGATTCACATCCCCTCACTTGTTTCTCTTGAGGCGGTTGGTATTACTCTTTCTCTCTCCAATCGCCCTGATCTCAATATCTTTTGCATCTACCACACATACTCTATTGTTTCTTCCATTGACCCACATGATCTGGGCACTCTTGCTTCCTTGTCTCCTAACCCCTTTCTTATCGGTGGTGACTTTAATAGTAAGCACCCCTTTTGGAATAATGCTGCCTCTTGTTTCAATGGCACCAGGCTATTCAACTGGCTAACTAGTAGCCCAGTCAGTCCTATTCTAAGTGTGGTAGCTCCTTCGGTTCCGACTCATGTCAATAGTATCATTGACTTTTTTTTAGCGGATAATCGCCTTCTTCCCAGCCTCGGTGACCCACGAGTCATCGACGGCATTTCTGACCACCAAGCCGTAAAGCTTGCGCTTCACGACTGCAGAGCTGCTCGTGCCTGTCCTCGCACTTTTTTTAATTTTCCCAGCACCAACTGGTCAGAGTTCAATCTCACTCTTGACCAGCTCCTTCTCAATTTGAGCATTCCCGAACACAGGAACATGACTCCGGTGGAGATTGATTTTGCTGCCCTTACTCTTGAAAGCATCTTCGCCTCCACAATTGATGAGCATGTTCCGAAGGTGCATGTTCGCAAATTTTATCAA